TTTCACTGAGTTTGCTTAGTGCCTCACTAAGTTGCTGTGATTGGCTTTGAACTCATCCTCCTGCCTCAGCCTCCCGAGATGCTGGGATGACAGGCATGCCCCACCATGCTCAACTGCCATCAATTCTTGTGACTCATTTACCCCCAAAGGCAAAACTCTAAGTCCCATCATGCTGGGGTTTAGGTTCCAATGTGAAACTTGGAGGCACTCATACTTGAAACCATAGCATACCTAGTCTGAAAAGTCCTAAGGACCATTCAGTTAATTAATACAGCTGAAAATTTTGGAATAGTGCCTGACATGGGTTAGAGTTTTTGATACAACATTAAATGTTATGTTTGAGACTCATTAATTTGTCCCCAGTGGGAAGGAGACATCAACAGCTGCCTTGTCCCCCTCCCTAGGGAGGTCCCTARGATCTTCCAGCAATGCTGTGTTAAATAGCTCCTCTCAGACAGAGAGCAACTCTGGACCCTGGGAAATGGCATGGTCTCAGGATGCAGGAAAAGGAAGGCTGAATGTGGGCTCTCCCCAGGAAGGAGAACTAGTGGTGCAGCCTCCCACTCTATCAGACAGGTGACACCAGGAACATTGGAGTCACTGCCTTTTAATTTTAATTTGTTCATTGTTTTAAAATTTGAGACAGAGTCTCTTTAAGTTGCCCAGACTGACCTTGAACTTGGAGATCCTCCTGCCTCTGCCTCCTAAGTAGCTAGAGGAATCACTGCCTTTTGAGCAAACTATCTGCAACCACATCTGACCCTGGCTGCTAACAGCTGACTTTGCAGGAAATTCACTACCATAGCATCAGGCAGAGCTTCTGCAATGCTAGTTCAGGAGTCTGCCCAGTTGTTTACTCAACTTACTGGCTGGGTGTTCTTTTTTTTTTTTTTTTTTTTTTTAATATTTATTTATTTATTTTTAGTTCTCGGCGGACACCACATCTTTGTTGGTATGTGGTGCTGAGGATCGAACCCGGGCCGCACGCATGCCAGGCGAGCGCGCTACCACTTGAGCCACATCCCCAGCCCCTGGCTGGGTGTTCTTGTCAGGGTCTTTTCATGTCCCTAGGATTCAATTCCTCATTTCTAAAATGAAGAGATTATTTAACTGCTCACATTCCCTACATTGTCCTTACTCTTCCTACTACCTTTCAGGAGAAAATGGAGGCACAGAGAATTGAAGCGGCTTGCCTAAAGTCATTCCGCACATAAATTATGGAACCTAAACTCAACCCAGATMTGTCTGGCTCCAAAGTCTGTTCTTTCTCAGGGAAGTGAAAACCTGAGCACTATTTTTGGAACAGACTTGAGGCAATAACTTGGGGGCAGTTTTGGTGCTGCTTGTGGAGTATCTTCTTAGTTATAGGTCATTTTTTGGCTCTTTACCTTCTAAAAAGAAATTCAGCTCCCTCCAGCTCCAATGTGTGTGTGGGGTTTGTTTGATTTTTTTTTTTTTAATACCAGAGATTGAATTTAGAGGGGCTTAACCATTGAGCCACATCCCTAGCCCCTTGGTTTATTTTGAGATGGGATCTCACTAAATTGCTCAAGGGCTTACCAAATTGCTGAGGCTGGCTTTGAACTTGTGATCCTCCTGCCTCAGCCTTCAAATGGCTGGGATTACAGGCATATACCACCATGATCAGCTTCCAATGTGTATATTTAACTTGCAATACAGTAAAGTTGCACTCCAAACCTTGCTAACCAATAGTTAGGAAAAGTTTAGCTGAGAAGGTTTTGAAGGATAGGTAGTTTACTCAAGTGTCTCTATGTCTCCTGCACTACTTCTTTTCCTTTTGTTTTTATTTATTTATTTATTTATTTATTTTTATTTTCCTTTTGTTTTTAATGTTGCAATTTTGTACATAATTCTCAAGTCATCTTAAGTAGTTTAGAAAGAAAGGTATAAACAAAGTAACAAATGAATAAATAGCTACTGCTACTCTTTCTCTTTTACTATATTACATCTAAATTGACCTTCCCAGAATATGAGTGAATTCTTTCAGCTGCCTATCCTACTTACTGAATTCAGTCACCTAATAACTTCCAGGCCCTTTTGAACTTGAACCACATGCTATCTATTTTTTTGTTTTTCTGTTTTTTAGTTTTCAGTCTGCAGAATTTAAAAACCTTAAATTGTACTATTTTTTGGTGTGTGTGGGGGTAACCAGGGATTGAACTCCTGAGCACTCGACCACTAAGCCACCTCCCCAGCCCTATTTTGTATTTTATTTAGAGACAGGGTCTCACTGAGTTGTTTAGCACCTCATTTTTGCTGATGTAGTGGGACCTCCCCCTCAGCAGAAGGTCTTAACTAAGCTTTTCTAGAAATCTTCATCAGAACTGATTTTAGAACTATCAGCAAGAGTCTCTACAAAAAGTGTTCAATGTAGGTAAGCTTCCTATTTTCTCATTGCTCTATTTTACTTGGCCACTGGCCTGGAAGAATTTGGCACTCCAGGTGCTGTATGCCCCTTTACTAGTTTTTCACAAACATTTATCCAGTATAATAGTTTGTAGAAGTGTGTTTGCAAGTGCAAAATGAGATTTAAAAAAAAAATCCTTTAACAAGGCCTTGAACTGGAGCTTCACAGAGATGTCTACATTTCTAAGAGAAGTTACCAATTGGGCTCCATGGTAACAGCTGGCAGTGGGAGGAAAGAAAAGGGAGAAGAAACTCTCCCCTTCTCAGGTGTTGTCCTTGAAGGGTTAACTTGCCCAGAACAGTGAAAGAAAAAGCTGCTTTTATGTGAACTTCTGCAGACTGTGAACTTCTGAGTCCCTCCCCTAACATGTATACAGTTCTGAAACTACCTGAACTTGGGGTTCAGGGGATTAATTGATTACAGCAAAAGCTATTCCCTCAGAACCTGGGTATAGCCAAATAAAATTGTTTCCTGCTATCTTCAGTGCCTTGCCTTGACTGTCCCCTACAACAGTGACACTGGCTCTGAATCTATGATCTTCCTGCCTCAGCCTCCAGAGTTGCTGGAATTACAGGTATGTGCCACTGCACCCGACTTTTTTTTTTTTTTTTGTGTGTGTGTGTAGGTGATAATTTCACTAGGTACCAAGTTCAAAGTTCATAAGATGGGAATGTAAGGAGACCAAGATTTCTCCTTCTCCCATGGTTCTCAAGCACCCAGTTTCCCTCCTAGGAGACTGTCAAAGTGGCCAGTTTCTTTATTACCWGGAGATAGTCTCTGCATGCCCAAGAAACTACATGTATATGTATGACTTTCCTGTTGGTGTCTCTGTTAGTACTAGACACTGAAGAAGTCAGTCAAAGTATCATGATTATTTCTGCAGGTATTATTGAAAATTAGTGACCAAGGATAAGACTTGGCATTTTATATGTACACTAAAGTTACTGAAGCACTTCTACCCCAATCCAGGCTTCCTATGTTGTTAAAACCATTCCCAATCTTACCCTCTGACTTGGGAAGTTTGCCTTGCAACATTTTGAGAGTTGCCTGGAAACAATGGATAGATTCTCTTAATTTCAAGCCATTTATTCAAACTCTTATGTTCCCCAAAGACCCATGGTCCCCAGCCTGTGGCACTGTGGGGACATGGTGGAGATGGGGCTCTGTGGAAGGAAATTAGGTCACAGGGGGGTGTGCCCTTGAAGGGGATATTTTGACCCCTTCCCCCTGTTTTTTTGCTTTCCAGCCCTCATGGGTGAGTAACATCCCTAATCCTCTGCCTGTCACCACAGGCAGAAAGTTATAGGGTCAAGTGACCATGGATTGAAACCTCTGAAACCATGGCCCCAAATATTTACTTCTTTGAAGTTGTTTATCTTGAGTATCTCCCTGCAGCAACCAGAAGATGACTAACATACCATCCAAAAAATACAAAATAGTGAATGTTAAATTTCTTTATTAGGATCACTTTAAAGTAGAATATGTTGCATCTTGGTCCATAACACCAGTTCAAAAGGGAGGTTCATAATTGTTTCTAGGTCAATTTGGAGGAAGAGTGTGGGCAGGCAAAAGTACAAAATACTTTTGAGTTTGCCTACTTCTCTTTTTGCTGTAATTTAAAAATGATATTACATATGTAATTAATATATATTGCAGAAAAACTTGACAACATTTAGGGAAAAGGTAATTTTAATTACACAATCACACAATCATGATCCCAAATTGCATATTGTTATATTATATGGGAGCATGTAATAGGTATTATAAATATAATTAATTTACAAAAATCAGATAATACTATGAATACTGTTTCCACTCAGTATATATTCAATGCTTTCAAAAAAATATTTATCCATAGCATTCTTTCCAATGGCTGCACATTAGTATCCACCTCTTTTAAGCTAGGCACCCAGATATCTTGTGTTTATGTATATTTTCCTGTTCTTCTGCAGACTCAGGGAATTTACTCGCAGTAGATTTGGAAAAGGATATCAAGTATCTGTGCAGTATTTTACAGAGAACATATTGACTATATAATGGAAATGAGAGTGGTTTCATAGGGTAATGTGGAGAAATATCAGGGCATAGCAGATAGAAAACAACTCAATGTGAATGGTTAATTATTATTGTAATGTCAATAATCATCATGTTTATATTTTAGATGGGGAAACTGTCTAGAAGAGGAAAAGTAATTGCTGAAGAACGTCAATATGGTAACTTCAGCTCATTTGACTTCAACTTCTGTACTTCTGGCACTACACCATATTGATTTTCCTCCCTGTTTAATGGGTCCTGATAATACCGCAGGTAGGTTTAGATCTTCCAGTTGCTTCCATCAAGTTGTTTTTCCATGGCTCGATTCCTCGGAGCCTCACAAGAAACTGTTTTGACATTGGGATGGTTGTCCTGTTGGAATTAACAGGAGCCTGAGCCTTAATACAGTTAAAGCATCAGGAGCCAAGAGTTTTCCTGCTTTTAGACTCTGCCACGTGGCTGGGCGGTTGCCGGGGAGACGCAAGACACGAGCCACACCCGTAGGACTACATTTCCCAGAAGCCCGCGCGCAGCGCGCCAGAGGACCGCCCGCCGGCGCGCGCCCGGCTGTTCGGTACCTCGCCGCGTTCTCGGCCGCTTCCCTCTTCTCTCCCCCGCCCCCCGGCCTCCGCACCGACGCGGCGGTGGTTGGAGGCTTAGACGGAGCCCATTCACGCCGGAGCCGGGCCCGGAGCCGCAAAGACGAGGAAACATGGAGGCCTGAGCCGTGGTGCGCCACCCGTGCTGCGGCGGGACCGCGCTTCTCTGACGCCCTCTTGCCACCCGCCCTCCGTCGGTCCGTGGGTTTGGAAGCGGAGCTCCTGCAGACTGAGACAGGTGGGCTGTGGCGCCGCCCCCGGCAGCGCGGACCCYGGCAGCTCGGCCCCCGCCTCTTGTCAGAGCGGGTTCCGGACACCTCTCCTTCCAGGCCCGCGTCGGGCGGTGAGTGGCAGCTCCGCCACCCCAGGGAGAAGGGACGTTCCTCTGCTGGAGGGGACTGGGCCACCCCAGGGCTGTGCCGAGCCTGGGAGCGGGGCCTGGCTTCCGCCTCCCCAGCGGGCCCCAGGGGGTGTGTGAGGCGAGAGTGTGAGGGGCCTGGGTCCGTCTGGGCTGGGAATTGGGGACACCGCAGGGCAGCTCGATGCTTCCGGAGATGGGGTGATGTTGGCTGACAAATGGGCGTGTGATGGGCAGGGTGAGCAGTAGTGTGTGTGTGTGTGTGTGTGTGTGTGTGTGTGTGTGTGTTTGACATACATTTTTATTGAGATATAATAAAAATTCGCCCTTTAAAAGTATAACTAAAGTACAGCTTGGTGGCTTTTGGCAGATTCCCATACAAGTTGTACCACCTTACCACTAATTCCAGGACATTTTTCTCACCCCCTAAGAAGCCCCAACCTATTAGCAGCCACTCATCTCTCCGCCCCCTCCACTATCAGTCTTTTCTGTCTCAGTGTATTTGTCTGAGAAGTTGTTGTTGTTATTTGTATCAGGGTTTGAACCCAAGACGCTTAACCACTGAGCCACAAACCCGACCCTTTTTATTATTTTTATTTTGAGATGGGGTCTCGCTAAGTTCCTTGGGGCCTCGCTAAATGCTGAGGCTGGCTTTGAGCCCGAGAACTTCCTGCCTCGGCCTCCCAAACTGTTGGTATTAGAGGCCAGGGGCACCGTGCCGGCAGCAATTTTTTTTTTAATATTTATTTTTCAGTTGTACTTGGACACAGTATCTTTGTTTTATTTATTTATTTTTATGTGGTGCTGAAGATCAAACCCAGGGCGAGCACTCTACCGCTGAGCCACAACCCCAGCACGATCAATTGTGTTTTAATTGAAGGGTGAAAAGGTAGGTGTTTGTTGAAAGGGGGTGGCAATAGTGGGATTTGAGGCTACTGGGGTGATAAAGCTAATCAAAGTACTGCAAAGGGTGGTACAGTAATACGACTAGCATAGGAGCCCCGGAAAGATTGACTAGGGGCAGATGGAGTGGGAATCTTTGAAAGGGGATAGTGGAGATTGGTTAAAGGTCCTGTGGAGAGAAAGAGGTGGGCTGTAAGATATGAAAACAGGGGTGGAGACAGTGGAGAGGAGTGTAATTTTGCCCGAGAAACCCAGGTGCTTGGGCTCTGGAGAATTGTAGGTGGAGGGAAGAAATTCTATAGAAACAGGTGAATGGCTACTGAAGATGAAATTTAAGAATCTATGGATTTCTAGAATGATTATCCTGCTTTGGAGTTTTTTAATTTTAATTTTTAGTTTTTAATAGACCTTTATTTTTTAAATTTATATGTGGTGCTGAGAATCTAACTTAGTGCCTCACACATGATAGGAAAGTGCACTACCGCCCCAGCCCTTGCTTTGGAGTTTTTATCTTGGCTAATCCTCGTGGCAACTCAGAGATAGTCTAAGTAAGTATGAATATTCCCATTGTGCAGTTGAAGAACCAATTTTTTAGAGGTGACTTGCTWATGCTTATAAGATTACTAAATAGGGCAAATTGAGTTGAGATTAAGGAATACTTGATAAAACTATCAATGGAAAGTGATAGGGAATTGAGGTCAGGCAATGTTAATATGATGGCAATTCAGCTATTAAGAAGTCTGTATTGTTATGATAGGTCAAGGTTTGTTTTAGTACCTCTTAAATAAAGAAAAGTTCAAATGGGTTAGAAGTATAGCTCAGCGGTACAGAACTTGCTGAGCATGTATGAGGCCCTGAAAAAAGAAAAATACAAAAAACAAACAGTGAAATAATATATTACATTCCCATGTACCCATTCCCCAACTCCCACAGTGATTTACTCCTGCCAATTTAGTTTCAGCTATATTCCTATTCATTCCTATCCCCCAACTCCAAATTATTTTAAAGGGGATCTTAGGCATACCATCTCATCTGTAAATATTTCAGTATAAAATATTTATAGATCACACTCTCCTTTTAATATGCTCATAATATCCTTGTCATGCAAAATTTAATAATAAGTCTTAATATCATCTAGAAAGGTTCCTCCCCTGTCCCTGTACTTGGGGTTGAACCCAGAGGTATTCTAGCAGTGAATCATATCCACAGCCCTTTATATTTTTTGAGATAGGGTATTGCTAAGTTACCCAGGCTCTGGAACTTGTGATCCTTCTGCTTAGCCTCCCAAGTAACTGGGATTTCAGGTATATGCCAGTACACCCAGTAGGACTTTTTTTTTTTTTTTTTTAAATGTGGTATCCATTTGATACAAGGGGGGAAAACAGTGCGAATACTTTTATGTTTGACTCTTAAGAATATAGTGTAACTGTCTCTTGATTTTTCCAGTAGATCCTGCTGTCCTAACTGTTCCATTTAAAAAAATAAAGTAGCTCATTCAGTGCAAAAAAGTTTGAAGACACATTTGCTAGCTCCCTGCTGCCCTGCCCATTTTTTTTTCTGGTACTGGGAATTGAACCCAGATGTGTTTTACCACTGAACTACTATCCTAGACCTTTTTTAAATTTTTTATTTTGAGGCAGGGTCTTGCTGAGTTGCTGAGTCTGACCTTAAGTCTGTGATCCACCTGCCTCAGCCTCCCAAGTCACTAGGATTACAGGTGTTGCTGGCTTTTTACTGGATGGAATTTTGTGATGGCAGGAGAGAAATAGAAGTGAAATATATTGCAGTATGCACAACTAACTCTTATTGTGCTCTAAATATTTGGGCAATTTGATTATGCTTTGATAATTTTATAGATTGTGAAAAGTCATTTACTGTGGGTTTAATAGTTTTCTATGGCTGATAATGTATCACCACACATTTAGTGCTTGAAATAACACAGATGTATTATTTTATACATTTATAGAAGTCCAAAATGAGTCTCAGTGGGTTAAAATCAGTGTGTAAACAAGACGTTGTTCCTTTCTGGAAGTTTCTAGGGGAGAATTCATTTCCTTGCCTCATCCAGCTTCTAGAGGCTGTCACTTTCCTTGGTTTATGTCCCCCTGTGTTTCTCCATCTTCTAAGACACCAGTGATGCATCTTTCTGATCATTTTTCTGTCAACACTTGTCAGACAACAGCTGGGGAAAATTTTCTGCTTTTAAGGACCTAGGTGATGGGATTAGACCTATTTGGATACTCCAGGATAATCTTCCCATGTAAAAATCTTCTTATTTAATCACACCTGAAAGGTCCCTTTGCAGGTAACAATCATAGGTTCCATAGATTAAGAAGTTGACAACTTTGGATTTGTTTTTCTGCCTACCACAATGTGTTTTGGAATAGTTTGCTGAGGCTTAAGAAAGTAGGAGGTTTTCTTTGCTTCTGCAAATGCAACAAGAATGCCATCACATATGATAGTGGATAATGGTTAGAGCTAGAGAGGACTGTTGCCTTTTAATTTTATGTCATGCTGAGAATGAAACCCAGGGTCTCATACATGCTAGGCAAGTGCTCCCCCACTAAGCCACAACTGCAGCCCTGAACATATGGTTTTAATAGGGCATATTCATTGCTTGGAAGGTATTTACAGAATTGTCTTTTAGCATATCATCACACTACAGACTGATCACTAACAATTGAGGGTTAGGTGGAAGTTCCTCATTACATAGCTAAGTGGTTTCTGAAATGTGGAAATTTCTTTTTGTACTTGAATTGAGGTCTGAAAAATGCTATTGGAAATGTACTTTGATTTTGGAGAATGTATTTGCTGTATATTTGTGTGGGAATGGAGACCTCATTCTTGTTTTTATTTTTTATTTCTGGTACCATGGAGGGAATCCAGGGGTATTTGACCACTGAACCACATCCCTAGTCCTTTTTAATAATTTTATTTAGAGGCAGAGTTTCACTGAGTTGCTAAAGCTGGCTTTGAACTTGGGTCCTCTTGCTTTAGCCTCCTGAGCTGCTGAGATTATAGGTGTATGCCATTGTGCCTGGCTTCTTGTTATTTATTTATTTATTTATTTATTTATTTATTTAATACAGAGACTGAACCCGGGGGTGTTTAGCCACGGAGCCATATCCCCAGCTATATCTATTTTTGAGAATAGATTGTTTACAGCCTCGATAAATTGCAGAGGCTGACTTCAAACCTGCCGTCCTCCTGCCTCAGCTTTCCAAGCTGCTGGGATTATAGGCATGTACCTACAATTGTTTTTTTTTTTTTCTTTTAAATATTTTTGGTTGTAGATGGACACAATATCTTTAATTAATTAATTTATTTTTATGGTGCCAAGGATTGAACCCAGTTCCTCACATATGCTAGGCAAGTGCTCTACCATTAAGCCATAAACCCAGCCCCTCTTGTTTTAGACAGCATAGGAAGTATATAAAACAACTTAATGTTACTTATGATTCAAGGAATGTTGGTTGTTCTTGAAATGACTTCAAGAGGTTTTATACATAAGCAATGTGGTCTTCTGATTTTAGTTTGAATTCATTAAGAATTACTATCAAGTCTGCAGCAAAAACTAATTTCCACACACTTTATTATTATTATTWTTWTTTTTTTCCACACACCTTGCAGTTTACAGGGGTTGTAAAATTTGTTAGGCTAAGCCTTTTTTGCTCCATAGGTTTTTTCACCACCATCAATTGTTACACATCTTAGCAGGTTCTGCTTTAGATTCTCCTGAGTTAATATTTTAAAAATTAGTTTTGAAAATATTCATGGTTGTAATCATTCCATATGGACTGTAACTTGAGTAACTTTTCACTGAAGGATTCAGATGTTAAAGATGTTTGTTTTCTCTGGACACATTTCTTTGGCTGCTGTAATCTAAGACAATTTAACTCACTATTGATAAATGTCTTTGTTTACTTGATTAACAAATTAGCCATTTGGAAATGTGCTTTGGCTGTAGCCTCATAGTAATTTTTTATGTTTGGGAAGACATTCTGTTGTGATGATTTACCCTGTGTTACATTTTCCCATYCTCCTGGTCATTGCTCTCATGTGTTGGGAGTGAGTGGTGTGGTTGGGCAACTCAGGATATTGTGACAGATGCTTAGTCGGCTAATGTTTCCTATGTAGTATTCTTTAGTACAGCTATGGTGCTGGATGTCTAATTAGATTAAGAAAGCTATACTTAACTGTAAGTTGAACGTATGGCATCAGAGTTTACTTTTTTGTGTGTTGACATGATTATACTCACAAATAAAAAATAATCATAGTATGGCAATATGCATGACACTTGAATTACTGTTGAATTGTTGTTATTACAGTTATTTTTGCTGTACTGGGGATTGAACCCAGGCCTTGCACATACTAGGCAAGTGCTCCACCACTGAGCTATACCCCGAGCACCTTTCTAAAATTTTGAGACAAGGGTCTTGCCAAATTGCCAAGACTGGCCTCAAACTTTCAATTCTTCTGCCTTGACCTCCTGAGTGCTGGGATTATAGGCATGTACCACCATGCCTGGCTAATATTGTTGAGTTGTAACTTGTCATGGAGAAGTGTGGTCTGCTGAGTAGTGGTATAAAGAGCTGAGGATGCCACACATAGTCTCTGTAACAACTCCTCATCTCTGCTGTCACATCAGAAATATAGCTACAGACAGTATGTAAACAAAAGAGCATGGTTGTGTTATATGACTTTCTAGATGGACACTGAAATTTTAATCTCATATAATTTCTACATGTCACAAAATATTATTTGTTCCCCCCCCCCCAGCCATTTAAAAATATAAAAATCAGTCTTTGGGCAGCAGGCTCGATTTGGTCCTTGGGTCATCATTTGCTGACTTATGATCTAGGCAGTGAGAATAACAGTAATACCTCCTGGATTGAGGTGAAGGATGGATCAGTCGGTGTGTGTGAGACACTGGGAGTAGTCCCTGGGGGACATAGTAGGTGCTATATAATGTTTTTTATTATTACTGTTGGTGTTTTTATTATTCTCTCTAAGGATATTACTTTTAGGTTTTGATTTTGTCTTAGAATCTTGTTTTCTATGATTCCGTTTTTCAGTTTGTTTTGGCTTCTGTATTTCATGTTGGAGGCTTTCATTACAAATTAATGATTTTGCCTGTCTTTTCTTGAGATTGAGATGCGCCCCCCCAGCCCCGCCTCCCATATTGGTTGGAAGCTTTTTGTGTAAGTGGATTTTGTTGAGTGGTGGGCATGCCATAAGGTGGTAAGGAGTGTTTTAAGTATGGGAGGGAGGAATCCTAAATGTCCTTGGGACCCATTCAGTTTCTCTTGAGAAGAATCCTCCAATCTCTTGCTTCAGAGCATGGGAAACCCACTGGGTAACTGTGTAGCCAATTGAGATTATCTTCATTTTTGTAGTTTCATCCTCCACCTCATTACCTTCCCAATCTTGGCCCTGGAGTCCCAGATTCTTCTAGCCAGCTTCGTTCAGAAAGCGCACTTAACAGCTCCTCCTGGGGATGGGGACACGGCCCTCTGCACCTTGCCTCTTTTCTCTGGTGCTTTGACTT